CAGACAGCCTCTTCCCAATATGCGTTTTTGCAATTTACATATATGCAAAAACGCATAAAAACTGGGCATGAAGTTTTAAGAAAGGCAAAAAAACAAACGTCAGCAGTGTACTGTACTCCAAATGAAAGTTGCGATAGATTGTAGCAGAAGTCTTCCGGGTCAGCAATTCCTTCCGGGCATTGAAAATGTTCCGGCGTCTCGATGATACGTGTCCATTGATCTCCAGCACTTTTTTTGTACGACAATCTTAAGAAATTAAAATTACAATATTACAAATACTTAAAATGCGACTGGCAATTTCAGTTTTTAAAAACAGTATGTTTTTTTATTATTTTTATTGTTGTTTGAATGAGCTAAAACAAAGCTGGTTTTATTCACTTGTTACCATCGCCCAGAGTTTACACACACTCAGGAACATTAAGAAAGATTTCAGAATAATGACAGTCAAAACCGCCTTCCCATCCACAATATCCGTGGAAAGTGGGGCGTTTGAAAAAGGGCCGAGTGGTCGCAACTGCCAACAGCAACCACCCGCTGCCCGGCTGCCTGGGCTTGATGGTTCCCTATTCCGAATACTTCTTGAAACCACCACTAAATTTACAACCTCTCGCAACGCTCCTACCCAGTGCGTAATATCTGTTAGTCCAGCCGCCCTCGGCCCAAGAATAATACCGTCCGAAGAGCCTCGTAAAGAAAAAGCAGAATCGTGCAAACAGCGCCTGTCCGTTTGAAGGAATTGAACCCTCAGTCTTCAGCACGAGGGTAGCACTCATTGCCAAGCGCCATATTTTTCAGTCCAGCCCCATCTGAACTAAGAATAATGCGCTGCAAAAGATTCTTGACAAAAAAGCAAATTACTTGAATCTGTTGACATCTTTGCGATGCTCTGGTAGCGGTGTCCAAGCCAAATATGATTTTGGAGGTGCCAAAATGATCCGCAGCTGATAGATGTTATGATCATCTACAATAATTTAAAGTATTCCCCGAGTTTGTAGCGCAATTTCTTGGATTCAGTGAGAATCTCTACGAGTGGTTCGAGAATGTCAGGTCCAACTCACTTATCACAAAATTTTAAACGGTCAATTCGATCGCCGAAAACGTTTACATCATGTCGGCTAAAAATACCTGAAGTAAACCTCAAACAAGTAAACGTCAACTATAATCTTCGTACGATGGAAGGAAACGAGCAATCGGCGCAAGTGCGATGTGTTTCACTCAGAAGCGCATTACAGCAGAAGAGCAGCCAGAAGAGAAGCCACTCTTAGTTACAATTTCCCAGTAACTTCGTCAGCATAAGGTACCCAAACTGTTAGTGCAGACGGTCTTGGTATTCTCGGCAGTTAGATTTTGGCTGAACTTAAAATATGAACCTTCACCAAAGAGGAAGAAGCTGCTACTCGTTAATTTCAAAGCATAGAGCTTCCCTCACCACCCGCTATTAATTAGCATCTAGAAAATAAATACACATTGGCCACTAAACAAAAGAACCCTGCTGATCACCAAATATCTTTCTAAATAAAAAGTCATCAATTTTTGTATTGAAATGAGCCGAAAGCAAAAAAAAGCGTGGGGGCTTAACGAGCTCGAGGAAATTATGCGTTTCAGTCAAAAGCTACTGCAGAATTTGGAAATTGAGGGCTATGAAATTAGAAGAATTAAAATCAGTCTTTGATAGAAGCAAATATTGAACTAACCACTATTTTGAAACCCGCAAGTGAAGTGAGTAAGTTTTAGCTACCAAGCAAAAATTGGTATTAAAGAGAAGTGAAGCGAAAAGAATCT